CACACACACACACACACACACACACACGTTTAGGAGTATTCTTATTGGAAGGCAGTCTGGCGCGTCCTCAAAAAGCTGAACATAGTAATTCCGTAAGACCCAGCTCTTCCACTACTTGGAATATACCCTGAGAATATGAGAACTGTGGCACAAACTGAATTTGTACACCAGTGTTCATAGCAGCATTATTCACCATCGCAAAAACATGGAAACAGCCCAAATGTCCAACCACAAACGAATGGATTGAGAAATTATGGTACATTCACACAATGAAATACTACGCAGTATGCAGGAGCAACAACTTTGTAAATTATTATCTAACTTGGGAGGGACTGGAGAGCATCATGTTGAGTGAACTCAGTCCCATTAGAATAAATATTGTTATTGTAGAATGAGTATAAGGATCCAGGAGGGGTAGGAGAGGCTGGAAGCAGTGAGATGTGGATGGGCAGGGAAAAGGGGGAGATTAATCATTGAGTTGTACAATTTGATGGGGGGGGTGAGGGAAACTGAAAGAATTTGTTCAAATTTGTATTTGAATTTTGTAAATAAACTAGTAGAAGAATTGAAAAAAAGGATGAATTTTAAAAAAATTACCAGACAAGCAAGTGATGTAACATACTCACATATTCTATTAAAACCAATTATATGCTCAATCCTGACATCAAAACAAAATAATACAGACAGTAATACTATGACAATGTCAAAAAAACAGGACAAGATGGAACACAAAATTATAATAAGATAGAGCAAAAAAAAAAATAACAACAACAAAAAAGCCAAAAACCCACCCCAAAACTGGAGTAAGAAGCAAAAGATAAGGTCTTCAAAGGAGTATCATGACTGGTGCTGCTATGGACATTCATGTACAAGATTTTGTGCAAACACAGGTTTTCAAGTCTCTTGAATAAACACTTGTATAACTGCTGGATTAAACGGTAGCGTAGAGCATTACATTCTGGGTAGGCTGCTGGCTGGCCGCATGAATCTACCAGCTGTGGAGGGTGAAAGATGACAGCCTCCTCCTGTAAAGACTGACTCGGAAATCCCAAGGAGGGCCACCATGAATAACTTGCTGGCAGTGTATTTGGGGCGGTTTTTGTTGTTGTTGTTTACGGTTTATTTAGTTGTTTACAGTAACTTTATTTTACCATCTGAGGAAATGCCACTTATTTTCAAAGTGTCTACACCATTTTATATTCCAACCACATGCCCAGCAATGACTAAAAGTTGTAACTTTCCATATCCTTGCCAACACTTTTTATCTTTTTTTATTTGCCATCCTGGTAGGTGTGGCTATAATGTTAGAAGAATATCTATTTGTGTTTTGTTGACTATGCAAAGGCATCTATGAGTATCATAACAAATTATAACCGACATCGAAAATGGGAATCCCACTTAACTGTGTTCATGTGAAACCTATACCTAGACCAAGAAGTTGTTGATCAAACAGACAAGAGAACGCTGTATGGTTTAACATCAGGAAAGGTATGCCTCCAGGTGGTATTCTTTCTTCATACCTCTTTAATTTGTATGCGGAACAAAACATTCAAGTAACTGGACTATAAGACATGACTGTGGCATCAGGATCAGAGGAAGACGCATCAACAACCTGTGTTATGCAGATAAAATCCTGCTTGCTGAAAGCGAGAAAGACCTGAGGCATCTGCTAAAGAGGATCTAAGAGTGTCAAGAGCTTTCAATATGGTTTACAACTTAACATCAAAACAAAAATCCTCACCAGTGGACCAATAAGAGACATCATGATAGATGGACAGGAGATGGAAATTGTCAATTACTTCATCTTGCTTGGATCCACAGTCTATATACACCCTTGGCACTAGTGGCCAGGAAATCAAGACTTATTGCACTGTGAAAGTCTGCTATCAGGGACCTCTCCAAAGTGCTTAAGAGCAAAACGTCCAACAGCTAGAATTTTTGTTGGGTTGTTTGTTTGTTTGTTTTAGTTTTGTGTTTTATTTATTTAAGAAGTTCAGGCTTTGACTGCGTATTTCCGCAGAGGGTACAGGCACTCTTTTCGCTGCTGCTTCTTGGTGTTCAGGTTCTCCTCATGCTTGTTGAGCCTTTGGCGCATGGCACGTGTTTTCTTGGGCCGCAGATCCAGAGGTTTGTACTTCTTGCCCTTATAGTATTTTCTGAGATTCTCCTTCTGAGTCTGGATAATAACGGAGAACATCAGCAATGGATTTTCGGACAACTCGGATTTTGGAGAGCTTTGAAGCCGCACCGCCTGTCATTTTGGCGATGCCCAGCTAGGAAAGCTCCACTTTCAGATCGTCCATCCAGCTCTGTTTTAACAGCTCCTCCTTCTTCTTGCCGCGAAGGTCCTGAGCCTTGATTTTGGCCATGGCTGAGCCTGGCTGCCACCTGATCCAAGCCCAAGAGAAAGAGCAGGTTTTATTTTTTTAATTGTGAATTTAATAACCATTTACAGACGTTACAGAAGTTAGATTTTCATTCATTCACTGTGCACATTTTACCCGCTCTTCCTCCCTTCCCCAGTTCACTTTTTTTAATATTGATTCACTGTTGCACAATTACCAACCTCCCCCCACACTCCCATCCCAGTCCTCTTTGCAATGATATACTTCTTGTTGTGGGCTATTGTCATGACACTGAGATGCAATCCATGGTGATGGCTACAGTGTTCGATCTTCTGCAGCAAATATTTCAAGTCTTTCTCACATTCAGCAAGCCCAGTTACGTCATCTGCATAACGAAAGTTATTGATGAATCCTCCTCCAATATTGATGCCATGTTCTTCTTCATAGAGTCCAGTTTCTCAAATAATTAGCTCTGCATATAGATTGAATAAGTATGAGGAAAACACTCTGACGCACACCCTAGCTTTAAACAATGTAGTGTTTTCCTTGTTTTTTTTTGCACAACAGCCTCTTGGTCTAGGTATAAGCTGCTCATTAGCACAATTATATGTTCTGGGATTCCAATTCTCCTCAGCATTAGCCATAACAATCATTTATAATAATTTATGCAATAATTTATTGCATAGTCAATAAAGCACAAATAGACCTTCTTCGGGTATTGTCTGCTATTAGTCAGGAAGCACCAGCTTAGGTATGATATTAAGGAGGGACCAGTTCTTAGAAAAAGACATCATGCTTAGAAAGGTGGAGGGTCAGCAAAGCAGGGGAAAGGCCCTCAATAAGATGGACTGACAGTGACTATAATGGTCAGCTCAAGAATGTCAGAGATGATCAGGATGGCACAAGAAAGAGTAGGGTTCAGATCCATTGTCCATAGGGTCACTATGAGCCACCGTTGACTGGACAGCACTTAACAAGTGGGTTGTGAAGATGTGCTTCATTATTATTTTGACTTGTGTTTCCTTGATAGCCAATAGATAGCATCTTTTCATTTATTTCTTTACTCATAAGAAGGGAGCTCTGATATCCTAGTCCTGAGGGTGTTTTGTTGATAAACCAAATGCTGCTCCTCTGTAGTGATCCAAATGTACCAATGGTTCCTCAGGAGAAAAATATGCAATCTCTCCTGGGCTGTTTACAGCCTCAGAAACCCAACTGGAGGGTCAACTGAGAATCAGTGCCAACTCAATGGCAATGAGTTTGAGTTTTTTACTTACTAGCCAATCCATTGTTACTGTTAAAATGAATGATTCTTGTATTAAATATTACCTGCTTAAACTAGTGTGATTTTTCTCTCCTGATTAGACCAGATGGTGACTTCTGAGCAGAAATTAAGCATATACCAGAGTCTGAGAGGAAAAGGAAGCAAAGGAAAGAAGCTAAAAAAGAAATCACTGGTTAAATGTTTTTATTAAAAATAACTGAAACAAAGGCTGTAGAAGAAGTGAAAACCCAAGGGAATGAATCTTTTCATTTTGAATGTGAGTTCACCTTTGTTTTGACAGAGAAGGAAAATAATTCCAAACAGAAGCTATTACTGTTTGGTTTTATAGGAGTTTTGTTTGCTTGCTTTGAAGTTTTTCAAAGGAGGTGGCTAGGAAGTGCATCTGGGCACATTACATTTGTATAAAAGTATGTAAGGGAATTAAAAAAAACAACTCACAATCTTAATTCATGATAGTTGCCTTTTTGAGGGGAAGAAAGCCTTTACGAGTTATACAATGTTGCATTTATTTTAAAAAATGCAAATATGGCACACTAAAATATAATAATGGGTATGGTATTGTTCTGTTCTTGTGTGAACATGTTCATTGGAAATGTGAGCTGTTTCCTTTCATTGGTATCAATTCCCTGAGATTTCAGAGGTCCTCAGCTTATGTAAGTTATTCCACGTGGTTTAACAACCAGATATCTTTTTAAAGGCAACAACAACTGCAGGATAACTATCCTGGAAGCTACCTTCTAGTCAGTTCAGGCAAAATTCTTTCCTGCATGCCTGAGTGAAGCAGTAGGAATACAAAAGTATGCTTTACCTGCCTTCAAGGGACAGTGTCATGGACCGAGTTAACACGTTGCCACAAATGATAGCTACAGTGAAAAAAAAAAGTGTTTCTATGCACAGTCATCAATTTAAAAGTGTGTGGCAACGTGTTAAAGAGTAATGATGGCGTATGTTATGAAACAGTGGAAACTATTATCAATCTGGAAAGTTAAAGAAAAACTTCAGAGAGTCTGAGCTCAGCTAACTAGAGGAAGCTGGAAGACACTGAAAGAGAAGGAAAGGTTTTATATGTCACGCTAAGGAGTCTGAAGTGTATCCATTGTCAATGGAAAAACCACTGAAAGGTGGTAAGCAAAAAATTATATAATCAGATTTTTATTTAGGAAATGTCACTTGAACAGCAATGAAGAGGACAGACTAGGAAAGGTCAAGCCAAAAGAAAACACACTGTTGAGAATCACTTTAATATTCCAGGCCTTTTGGCTCTAGAGAGGGAATGTATATCTCAAAGAGAACTCAGAGAAATTCCCTGGGGTACAAGAATCCCCCAGTTCTTAGTCCTTATTTGTAACATTTTATAATACGTTCCTTTGATTGACATAGGCCTCCTCATGCAGTATTAACATCCCACATCTGGGACATGTGAAGTTTGGGAAGAAAGCTGGAGAGGTGTGAGAGTTCCACAATACAGTCAGAGCGGTGTCATCACCTGTTCATCAGCTTCCTGACATGCTGAAATGTAACAACAGGTTATAAAATTACACTGCTGTGGTTAATTTCGTAAGAACTGGATCTTTTAAATAGGATCTTAACTAAACCTGATAAGTGAGTAACCACAAAACTTTTTTACTACAAAGAATTTCCCTGATTATGATCTGGCAAAGTACTTGGAGGATTTCTAGAACTTAAAAGACAAGTTGCATTTTGCTTGTATAAAAACACAGGTGTAAAAAAAAAGACACACAAAAAAAAAAAACACAGGTGTTTCTTCTGGGATGGCAAATGTCTGTCAGCAGTACAGTCTCAGGAGATGTTAAAAAATAAACCTATCCATCAGTCGTCTCAACATAAAGATGGTTTAAGAAAAGTTAGAAAGTAGTTGTTGGGGTTTCCTTTTTCCTTAAAGAACACTATATTGATTGCACTTTCAAATAAGTTTTTTGGAAGGCATGTTTCCATTCTTTTATTATTCTGTTGCCAAAAATGTGTAAAAATATACGTATAAAAATCTCATACATATATGCCATTAGTTCTCAGAGCGTGGTTTAAAACCCCTGGAAGGTCCTCAAGCCTTTTACAGGTGTTAGTGAGTTCAAACGAACTTTGTAACAATTCTAAGACTCCATTTGCCATGTTCACTCTTCTCCCACAGGGGCCAGCTGAGATTCCAGGAGCTCCACAGTGTACAGTGATAGATAGTTCATGATGCCATAACTCTCCTGCCTCACAGACTCCATGCCTGCAATCTCTGTGATTTGTACGTTTTTTTAATTTCAATTTCTAGTATGTCATGTGATGACATCATTCCTCTGAAAAATGTTTCCATTTTTTTTTTGCTTTAAAAGGTATTCAATTTTAATTTATCATGTTAAGTAGATTAAAAAATCCACAAAATCACAACCATTTTTCAACTAGGAAGCAGATCCAGAGACCAAAAATAATTTTTAAACAAGAGATCCAGAGACCAAAAATTTGGTAACAGGAATATTCCAAAAAGTCTTAATGTGTTGTTAAGCCATGTTAAAACCTACATAAACACTTACTTTTTAATAATTCTGCAAGGAAAAGAGAAATTTATGAACAAATGCATACTCACATATAATGATACAAAAGGCAGTCAATGGCATTTATTCAGAGTAATATAAATTAAGTTCTAAAAGAGTGGAAGGGGAGTAACAGAATAGAAATTAAAGTTCCATTATCTATCACCTTTTAAAAAATGCCCAGAAGACAACCGAGAAGGAGTACAATTTCAAGGAGGAAGTAGTTAACAAGCAGCCAAGTAGATGCATACATGTTAGCAGTCCATGAATACACCCATGGCAAGCGAGTATGAGCAAAAATAGAAAATATTTACTGTTACACCTGCTCAAACACAGTGATCTTCCTAAAAGGCCAATGTGATAAGTCTCTCCTACCTTGATATCCTTCAATGGCTCCTCATCACCTTCAGGATAAAGTCTTCACTCCAAAACTCAAAAACTGCTCTTGGCTAACTTTTGCAATCTCATTTTCCACACATCCCAAACACATCCTGTACTCCAGACATAAAAAGTTGATCAAAATGTAACCCCACTCTGTTATTTCCAGGGAACTGTACCCATGATTTCCTGTCTGAAGACTTTTAAACCTGCATTCATTCAGCTAATTACTACTCAATCTTCAAGACTTGTGTTAGATGTTATTTTTCTGGAAACTTACTTATAGTCTCAACTGGACTTAAGATCCTATTTTAGGAGATCCCATAGAACTCTCAATTACATCCCTTCACTGCCTGTTTTCTAACTTCTGGTTTACTTGATTCTGGTCCTACCAGACTACAGGCTTTTTGAGGCCAGGGTCATAGCTTTCCTATTTAAGTCATGATCTAGCACATAGTCTGGTAGTGACATCATCATGTTCAATAAAAATCTGTGAAATTACCACAATTCCTAGTCTAGTAGGAAAGAGACATGTACACAACTATTAAAAACATGATCATGTGAAAATAAGGAAGATGTGACAGTTGTAATATCAGAGGGAGAAGGGCAGGAAAATCTGGGCTTTTCTACCTGTATCTCTGGATTAAAATATTTTTCTCAGTTTCTTCAAATCCTATTGCTGATAATACTGATGAGTGAGTGCTTATGTTACACGTCATCTGCATGAGCTAACTCACTTAATCCTCAAAACTACTCCAAGCATGCCACAAGATAAAGGTAAACAACCCAACTGCCAAATGGGCACAGGATATGAACAAACA